AAAAAAGTAAACATGTTAAGGTAAGCAGACAACTCTTCAGAAGCCCAAACACATTTTCTTGCTGTATTTATGTTGAATTCTCCATCTACAATGAGCAGTCATGAAGATGGTCTTCTTCAGGGCAACATGGTCACAGGACTGGGACAATCCAGGGGGCTGAGAGGGAGCGTGAGGACGGGAGAGGGGGCTACCTCCTGCTGTTTCACATGAGAGACAAACTGTAACACAGTCCATGGGCCTGCAATTGTCCCCTTTTATCATCTGGCGTAACGCTTGATGTAGTCGTCCACTTTATTCCGGAAGTCCTCCTTGTCCCGCAAATGATGTTCTGCAGCTTCAATATTCAGTGGATCATCAAAATTCAAAAGATCAGTAAACAAAGAGTTTAATCCCCAAACAACATCCTTCAATGTTCTTGTGGGAGCCCAGCCAGTGCCGTCAATTGAATGTTCTCTCAGTAAACTCAGACATATTTCCCCTGTCTCTGTGATGTTGGGGTGCCAGATCTTGGTCAGGCATTTCACTTTGGGGGGCACCATGTTGTACGCATCGGGAACTTCAGTTTCAAACTGAAATTTTCCAACCTGGTAGTAACCCTCATCTGGGGTTACTGTTAGCTGAAAACAATGAAGCTTGTTTGGATCAGGAAAATGCACTTTACATGTACAAGGTAAATTAGCTTCAAGTTCTGCAACCTCTTTAACAAGCAATTTGTCTCTCACAGAAACCCTCCTAGTGGAGACCGACGCTGTGGCTGCCGTCCGGGACCCTTTGAGACCATCATCACGCTTCAGTTTGCTTGCTAGCGTTAGCATTACTGCTGCCTTTACCCTGGGCTCCCTGAGACAGGCGAGGCGGGCCCGGCGCCCAACACCATGCCCGGCCGGGGCGGCTGCTGCGAGATGCGGCCCCTCACCCAGTGAACTGTTCTTGAAGGGGAGGGAAAAATCAATGCATTCAGTTAGCATTACCTTGCCCTGAATAATCCTGAAGCTGCCCATGACTTACTGTAGAGGATATAATTGAAGTGAGGATAAACTGCACACCATTGCAAAGTCTACTAAATTGAAACCGTTCTTTTTGTTGACACATGCTTGGGAAGCTGTAGATAATGTGATTTAAAATAAATACACTGGCCCAGTATACTTATATAATTGAAATAAATATGAAATAACCCATAGAGTCTGTGGGCAGTTGGGCAAATTAACCCCTTGTGT